TTATACCTTAGTCCCCCTCTCTGCCATCAGTTTCTCTCTGACCTTCTCCAGGCCTAAGAAAGGCTAGGCCAACAGTTGCTGCGACAATCTCTGAAATAGACAGCCTACAGTCTATCTCTGAAAAAATTCCCCTTGAAGGCATCGCAGGTGTCGCCTCACAATTACAAAGGATCATTTGAGACCTTTTTGATGCAGTTTGTACTACACCTCATTTGGAGGATTAGCCTACTGTCTCCAGTCTTGGGTCTTTTAGAGCTCCTGTAGCTACATAGATCTTTCCACTATACCTGCTATTCAATGTATTCCTCTATGTGGACTGGAAGCACACTGAATTACCAACCGAATGTGTTGGAACTAATCCCCTTTGAAAGGGAGTTTGTTAAATGGTGGTCTATTCTTCCTATAGATCCTAGTGATCTACCTTACAGGAATGCTGCCAGACAGGTAGAAGTACACCTAACTACACGTTAATCTTAATGATTCTACTGACCAGCAGCTAGAATCCTTCCTTAAATCACAGTTTAAACTGGTTGCTTCTGCCCTCCATTCAGTGTGGGTAGTGACCTTAATCTGTCAAATAGGGGTAGATTGGGTCAGATCCCTCCAAAAGGATCTCTACACCACTGGAGTAGACCCCTGTCCTAATTAAACATGTGGAACAAATGTCTGGAGCTTTAAGCTTCAGTTGTGATGGCTTGTTATAAGCATCTAAGCTTATATCCTACATGGGTCTGACACCATCCAGGTGTAGCTGTGCCTTCACCTTCGGGAAGGAGTGGGAACATTTTCTGCTCCAGGGAAAGTAGGCTGACCCCTGCTCTAAACAATGCTGAGAGTATTGGCCTTGCTTGCACTGTCTCCACTAAGAACAATGCTTGGGAAACTGGCTCTTCGCAACCACTTGCATCCGCACAGGGGGGGAGAGGTCTGAACGCCTAGGTGCACCTCAGGCTCTCTCTGGCAGGTGGAAATAATTCCTAGAGGGCCCTAGATCTCCTTGGATTGTCAGCAGACAGAACACCTAGTTTCCTGCTTCATGTACTCTGCCCGAAAGAGAGTACATCTGGAGGACTTCATGACACCTGTCTTCCTGAGGAATCGGGTGAATGCTCTTAGTGATTCTGCTAACTTTCCTCTCCCTCACTCCTTTGCTGTTTATACTTCGCTTGATCTGGGGGGATCAGGAGCTTCTTTAACCAGTGGATGTAGCCAGGGCCAAAAATGTTATTTTGTGGTCAATCTGTGTGAGTACATAAATAAATTCCTTTCTGACCTATTATTGAGGACAGATAGCAACCTGCACATTGCTTATTCAATGCTTTATTCATATGGCAATATGTGGAATAATTTATGGTAGGTTGTCAAATCAGGTAAACCTGCCGATCAACTTTACAATCTGCTTAAGATTTACCACAACTGTTCTATTCAGTCTGTGTGAAAGTTGATGGCCTGTTAAGTCTGATTAAAAGCCATAACTTGTATTAACATTTTATCTGCTGGATTATTATTTTTTCCGCTGCATGAGGCATTCTTAGAAAGCAAACCAGTTTCTGATGAGTAAATGTGTAATTGTTCTGGTTTTATACCCAGTTTCATTGAAGGTATTACAGTAATTATTTTTCAGTAGTGTCCTCCCTGTTTTCTGACAGTTTGTTTCTCTATCTTTCAGTGGGAGCTGGAGAAGTTGCAAACTTTGCAGCATACGCTTTTGCACCAGCTACCCTTGTGACACCCTTGGGAGCTTTGAGTGTACTAGTCAGGTACTATGCCTAAAATGTATCTGTATATTAATCTAAATGTTCCTATCTTATCTATGTTGTGTTATGGACTAGTTAATCTGTCATCGGTTTGTTTACAGCACAGGCTCTTGCTCTTTTTGCACATTTTTATATCATTAGTAGTTCATACAGGTTTAACGTTGCAGGTACTATTTAAAACCATGATCCAAATCTCCCATAGCAGTCAGACATGTACACTGACATAAGTTGTTCCATTTAAATTATATCTGTAAAAAAATAAGTCAAGGCAACTGGACTTGCTGTATTTTTCTAGAAAGATACAGCAAGTCCAGTTGCCTTGACTTATTTTTTACAGATATACCATGACCTGGATGAATGAGAACCTTCACAGACATATTGTGACGCATTTAAATGATGTATTTTGCTCATAGTTAACAATAGAATGTAGAAGTAATATGTTTAAAGTGGAACTAGACCCATTAATTTAACTGCCTCTCAAAACGGTTATCAAGGTAGCCGGTGTGCTTATTTCAGCTCTCACATGATCTTTCTGTTTCAAAAGTTTGTCATTAAGTTTAGGAAAGCATAACAAGTGCCTTAAAAAGACCGTGCAAAATATAAATCGGAGAAGACACATAATAAGCGCTCAGCACATGAAATGGAGTAAAGATACATAACAAGACCTGACCATCATAAGTCCTTTTGAGTAAGGGTTATCCAGGCAATTTACCACTATTAGAGAGGCCATTAGATTAATCAGTAACTATACCCGTCATACGTTCATAGGTAACATAACTTTGCTGATAAAGCAAAACTGATAAAGATGTCTAGAACGAGCGAGAAAAGAAAGGAAAGAAGTTTGGGGAAAAAAAGAATTCAGGAAAGACAGAAGACATAATAATCTTAGAAAACGGGTCTCACAGATGCACTGCCATTCACTGAGGCTCCAACAAAGCTAACTGAAGAGGTCACTAGGTCTCCCCCCTCAAAAAAGCAACCTCCTTCCCCAATCTCACATGAACTTTCACGCTCTCTAATGGCTGGTGTAATAGCTGATCACTTGCAGAACCATGGCAACTGCAATACAAATACAGGCTAAGATGGCACCTTCCTTGGCTGTAAGGGCTAGGAGGTTGTAGCTCTACTTTAAATTCATTTGAATGGATGTTAGAAACCATGACTTTGGCAGAGTCGTAAATGACTCTGCCAGAGCTGTTAAAGGTCAGTAGCTCAATGTGGCAAAAGCAGAGCTGTCGCAGATGCACAGTAAGCTTGCTTTTGCTGGGATTGGGGTGCCTTTGCCCTCATTGAGACTGATCAATATCTCCTGTGTAGATGAGGACTGTTCCATGTTCAGTGAATATGTAGAGGAATCTGCATGGCTCTTTCACTGAGTTTATGTATAGTGATTGTTCAGATATACGTCTAACTGATTATAATGAAATATAGTCCATGATATTCTATGGCTAGACGTTGCTGCATATTATTGCAGAAATATCAGGTGTAGTGAAGCGGTACTTTGACTGACATTTATTCCGTCATGCAACGCTGTACTGAAATGTATTTTATACCATTTTTTGGGGACAGATAGAGATTTCTTTTGGTGGTATTTATTCACCACTGGGGTTTTATTTTTTACTATATTAAGGAAAATTATCGAAATAAAAAAAAAAAACTGTTTCCCCTATATTAAATGATAAAACATTTATAATTACCCAATTTTTTGGTAAAATATAAGACGGTGTCACGTCGGGTAAATAGACACCAAACATGTCAAGCCTTAGAATTGCGTGCGCGCACGAAACCTCAAAAAACGATAATACCCAAAATTGGCCATAGGCGACGCTTTAAAAGCTTTCACGGCTCATCAGTTTAGTGTTATCAGTGATTGATGGCCCTAAAATGATTGCTCTCACTGCGACGTTCGCTGCGATATGTAACGTGTGTAGCGCAATTGTCGTTTTTGCGCGCTGGTGCTCATTGCTATTACATAGGGGGATAACAATGCCATGCTGTGCCTGTGTGTTTGTGGAGACGCACACAGCTTACCAGCAAATACAAGGGGGTGTCTCCATAGGACCCTACAGGGAAAGCAGCCACCCTAAAACAGGATATTGGGGTCAGTGCATTCTTCAGTTGTCAGTCTCATCACTGGAGTCCCCAAGCCAGGCAGTGACCCAGCCAATCAGACTTGGACTATAGATGAAAACTTTTTAGAGTAGAGTGGCCATTGAATGCACACACCTACCAGGACTGTGATCGAGGTACTACTAAATAGTGCTGTAATTGGAGATCACTAGATGACCCTGTTAGTTTGTATCAAACACTAGCATATGTGATGATTCCTTGCTTTAAGGGTGCGTTGTGACTTCTGCCCCCTTTTATTGCAGTGCCATCCTGTCATCATACTTCCTAAATGAGAAGTTAAATCTTCATGGGAAGATTGGATGTTTGCTGAGCATATTGGGATCAACTGTGATGGTCATCCATGCCCCCCAAGAAGAGGAGATTCGGAGTTTAAGTGAAATGTCTGTCAAATTAGCAGACCCAGGTAATGTACCTACATACAGAATTTCAGTGTTATGAGGTGCGAGTGTAATATTTGTCTTCCTATATAAGTAAAATGTCACATACAAAGGGGAATGTAGGCGGTGGTGGTTGGATGAAGCTATGTAGAAATAGAATAATTCCACATTTATTTTATTTTTATTATAGCTGTACAGTGTACCTGCCACTCTGGAGGGGTGCTGACAGCCATTCGTCCAGGGAGGAGTGCAGGTTATTAGCCTGGGATGAAGTGGATGTGGTTATCAGTGAGAAAAGTAGGATTCAGAATGCATTCATAACCCCAGGGGTGGTTGCGTGTCATAATGCAGACTGCTGGCAAGGGTATTTCAGTCCCAGTGGAAGGTTACAGTCTTCCTGTTGTTGGAGGTGCAGAGAAGTTTGCTTTGGTCCGGGTAGCTTTCTTTGAGGGTTTCATCAAAATGCTTCTTTTTTTTTTCTTTTTTTTTTTTCTTCGTTTTTCTTATTATTAGTGAAGTTAAAGGGAGGGCCTATCCCGTTCCCTTCAGCTTTCCCAAATTCAGCCAGCCAAAACGATGGAAAGACTGGATTCTTTGTTTAGAATTAAGATAAATGGCTCCACATATGAAATACATTTCTATGTGTTGCAGTTGTGATGCAAAGTGGAGGTGTGAGGAAGGGATGCCCAGGGGTGGGAGAAAGGGTGAAGCAAAAATGCACTTATTCTTTGTAATGAGGTCATAGTTAATTCTAATGATACAGCCACGTGTGTATGTAATGAGGTCATAGTTCATTCTAATGATACAGCCACGTGTGTATGTAATGAGGTCATAGTTCATTCTAATGATACAGCCACGTGTGTGTGTAATGAGGTCATAGTTCATTCTAATGATACAGCCACGTGTGTGTGTGTAGGATACGGAAGGACGTGTACGTGTGTGAAATGTGTGACAATACATAAACTGAAACCCTTTTTTTTTCTTTCTGCTTTTTAGGGTTTATACTTTTTGCAACAGCAGTCGTCATTGTATCGCTGATCCTTATTTTTGTGGTGGGACCAAGTCACGGCCAATCCAATCTTTTGGTGTATATTTCCATCTGCTCTGTCATTGGGGCCCTTTCCGTCTCCTGTGTCAAAGGATTAGGAATTGCTATTAAGGGACTCTTTGCTGGAGAGCCTGTCCTGAGAAATCCCTTGGCCTGGATCCTATTGATTAGCCTTATAGCTTGTGTAAGCACTCAGATAAACTATTTAAACCGAGCACTGGATATATTTAACACGTCCTTAGTGACTCCAATATACTATGTGTTCTTTACCACCTCAGTGCTTACATGCTCTGCCATTCTGTTCAAAGAATGGCAACATATGTCTGTTAAGGACATGATTGGGACCTTCAGTGGCTTCTTAACCATTATTATCGGCATCTTTTTATTGCATGCCTTCAAAGATGTTTCTTTCACCTTGACCAGCCTTCCGGTTTCCCTGAGAAAAGATGAACGAATCATAAATGGGAATCTACCCAACAACATCTATGAACACCTTAATGGGAATGAGGAGACCTCTCTTCTCTGTGAAAATGAGATCCAGATAAATGAGAAGACCACTTCTCGCCGCAGTGGGAATTTGGCATCCTTTTAAACTGAAATGTTGTTTTCTCCGTTGCTGGAAAACCTCATACACCATGCTAATCTCATATGAAGGGCCACTGAGTGAATATTACAAGTTTAGATCAGTGACTTCATGTAATAATGACATGTGGGCAGCTGTGGCTCCGCTGTGTTACTCTCCATTATCTGGACCAAAGCGCTTTATCGATGACATTTTATAAGGAAAGCCGGCAACATGCCTAACCCAACTTCAAAACCAAATGCAAGGACAGTACAACAAACATCAGAATTACCGTGGCGCAGCAATTACATGTATCGCCGATAGGAACATGTCCATTGATGATGCTGCTGCTTTATAAGTCCACTATTATTATTTGATGGATAGGTAGTCTCTGGTTCCTGCAGCTTAGTAATTGGAGAGTCAAAGGCTGTCTGAACCTTCTGTGGAAATTATCGGTACATTTTATAATTGGAGACTCGGTCACCTACAAATTGTATAGGGAAGCAAGCATGTCCTATGGGTTCTTTGGGCATCTGCACAGTAATATGCAGAAAATGTCAAATACAAGCTAGTTAGATAAAAGGGCTAATCATCTGTCAATAACATTCACAAATCTGTAAATATGTTGCATGATTTACATTGACTGGGCAGCCCCCTTTTTTTAGGCTATTCTAGATTTGGGTCCGAGCATGATAAATCTTCTATGTAAAAGAAATGATCTTCCTCCGGATTCTACATTTTATCTGGACTGGATTCAGTTGTTCTTAAGCTACTGAAAGACTTTTAGGTTTTTATTTGTGAATGCTACTGACTGCCCTTTTATGTAAACCTAGTTTTATTGTATATTTTCTGCCCTGTGAAGGGAACCCCTACGCAGCAATACAGAGGCTGCCATGCTGACCTACTTTTAAGAATACTTGTTTGGGGTGGCGGGCTCTGTATTCTCTTAGTACAGGGTCTTTTATACTCTTTGCACTTGTGGACTCTCAGAAAAGCTCATACCCTAAAAGAAAGCACTTGGTGGCAGCACTGTGGAAAATGTAGACGGCATTCAACGCCATGGAGCAGGAGTGCGTAGGAGCTGCATTGTCTTTTTATTTGAAAGGCTACTTCCAGCTCCAGTCAAAAACAAAGATTAACCAAGAATCTCTGTGCCACTCTTACATACTAAACCGGATCACTTTGTATTACGAGATACCTTATTCCTTTTCAGAAGGCCAGTTTTGATTTGAGTCTTTGCAGTAGATACAGTTGCATAATGAATCCTTAGCAGTAACAGGATGTGCAGTCTGCGGGGCAGACCCAAATCCAGTATTGGCCGGTGACAGTGAAATGACCATTGAGAGGCCACGCCATCCTGTTCTATGAAAAATCAATGCAAAATGTCATTTGAAATTGAATAACCTTGTTGAATAGAAATCCATGTGAATTTCCCTTGCTTGGCCATTTTAAAAAGTCTGACTATTTGAAGTGATTTGATCCCCCAAACTGTACAGACAATCCTTTTAGCACAGGTTTTGATTGGGCCTGCTTGCGCGGCAATGGTTTATTTTGCCTTACTCTTCTTTTTTGTTTTTTGTTTTTTCCTGTTCTTAATTTGGGCATGTAAAACTGTAAATAATTTTTAGACTCCTGAAATCTGTTGCACTGGTAACTTTTAATTGTATATAAATAAAAATTGTCTAAATTTCTGCTCTGTATGCTTTATGATCTGCACTGTCTCCTGCAATTTAATCTCGCTGCCTTTGTACAATACAAGATTGGGTAAGTCATAAAACAAATTGTGAAACATAACCTATTTTGAAATAAAATGTTTCTTTGAAACCCTGCAACTAATGCCGAAAGATTGTGTTTGTATATTCTTTATTTCACAGGGAAGTTTACAAATAACATGTACCATAGGTAACCCAACACGGATTAGAAAGACATGAAAAACCTTTACATACATAGTTGTGGGCATTCCATGCTACTTACCATGGTAAATGAACAACATGGATAGATTTCTCCTCTTCCTGACAGGTTTAGAACTTCTGATGGTTTTTATTTCCTTGTACCTTTCTGTCCCAGAACAGGATCACAGACAGAAAATAATACTTTTTTTTTTTTTAAAGTTCCCCATCCTATCTAAAACTAGAAAAAAATAAAAATAAGTAGATGTGTGAGTTGTGTATCTGCTTTCAGGAGGTAGACACTGGAAACAGAACAACCAGTTGAAGGCCAATCTACTATAACCCTGCCTTTTAATCACCATGTTTTTATTGCTAGTGTTCTAGAAAGTTGGATGCTCTCTTTGCTGGAGAAAACTCTCTCCCTCCCTCTCTCTCTCTCCCTCCCTCTTGCCCCCTCTCTCTCTCTCCCTCCCTCTTGCCCTCTCTCTCCCTCCCTCTTGCCCTCTCTCTCCCTCCCTCTTGCCCTCTCTCTCCCTCCCTCTTGCCCTCTCTCTCTCTCACACTCCCTCTTGCCCTCTCTCTCTCTCTCCCTCCCTCTTGCCCTCTCTCCCTCTTGCCCTCTCTCCCTCTATCTCTCTCTCTCTCCCTCCTCGCACTCTCCCCCTCTCTCCAGTGGGCTAGTAGCTGGGCTGTCTGGTGACTCACATGGCTCTGCTGAAGGTCCCAGGCTTCCTCCCACATGATGTCACTGCCGGTAGGGGCCTAGGCGGTACTTCAGTTGTCACGTATTCTCAGCACAGGCTGTGAGGATGCCGACAGGAGGATGTGTTGCTACTGATGGATCCATTGCAGGCTTATGTGGACCCAGGTAAATGGTGCTGTTTTTATCCCACTTGCTACCTTGGCTTATTGTGCCGCTTTTCTTACATGGGGTCGGGCCCTTTTTGTGTAGGTCACACTGTTGGTGATTTGTGAGGACGAATTCTCATGTTGGAGGGGCCCTTTCACTTGTATCTTGCAAGCCAAGGCTCCAGACAAAGCTAAGTCTATCCAGAAGGAAGTGTGTGATGCTAAGCTCAATGCTGCTCATTCCAAGGCCGTGTCAGCAGTTTGTTTACAGAAGAATCTGCTAGTGCCTGTAGTAGTCTTTTGTCCTCGGTAAAGGAAGAACTGGCATCCAACTTTCACTCTCTCCGATCCCTGATTGAGGACAGGAGAGCCCTTGTGTGTCTAAGTCCTCCTGCTTTTCTGCCTTTAGTTGCAGGGAAAGTTTTTCACAAGCACGATGAGTTTAATGAACCTGGTCCTTCCCAAAATGATTCTTCGGCAAAGGTTGAATGAAACAAACCTTCCTCAATGTGCAGATTGAAATGATCTCTGGAGGATGTGGATAGTTTACTTAGAGCAATTTATGAAGAGAAAGTTTTACTTTGCAGGCATGAGCTTATGTACCAAGGGTTGCAAAGAAGGATGTCTTGTGTTTTTTCTTGTTCACTAGGTTCTTACTGCTTCAATTTTTAAAGGATGGTCGGAGCCAGAAAAGAAACCTTTCTTATCTAATAGTCTGAAGCGGTGGTTCCCTTATGATGATGATCCAGCCTTGGTCTGGAACCAAAATCCTAAGCTGGATGCTCCTTTTTCAAAAGTGTCTAGGAAATCATCTTGCCTTTAAAGATATGGATGTTCTAAAGCAGGGGTCTCAAACCTTTGGCCCTCCAGCTGTGGTGGAACTACAAATCCCATGAGGCATTGCAAGATCCTCACAGACATGACTCCTGTAGAGAGATGCATCATGGGATTTGTAGTTTCATCACAGCTGGAGGGCCAGAGGTTTGAGACCCCTGTTCTAAAGCATGCAGTGGATGAGAAAATGGATGTGCTGTTTAGGAGAGCTTGGGATTCTACCCTGGCTAGTCTAAAACCTGCCTTGGCTACAACTTGTCCCCGGAAATGTAGTTCTGTCTCTTGCTTGAGGGCTCATCTTGTTGCTGGTACTCCAAGAGCAGTTACTGGAGTCCTCTTCCTATTTTAAAGCAGTAGGATTTATTGTGGATGCCTCTGCAGAGTCTGTTAGAATATCACCGTTCCAAGCTTGCTTCTGTGATGGACTACAATCTCAGTACAAATTAGTAGACTAAAACATGAGATTGGAGTCCATCACAGAAGTGAGCTTGGAGTGGTGACTACTTTTTACAACACACACAGGGACCATGGGGAACAAAAGTAGCCACCCTCCAGAAGGAAGGACAGTGTCAGCACCAATTCAGAGATGATTTGAGGCTCTACAGCCACGTGATACACAAATAAGACATTTTGTTAATAGTTCAGGTACTTGAATGTATTTTTAAGATTTAACTCCTGAGTTTAGTGTCACTTTAAGAGGATCTGGTGGTCTTTGATATCTAACAGATCAGTCTTTCCCATAGCAGCATCCCTCTTAAAGGCCAGTCTACCATATAAAAACCTTTTCCCTAAAAATAACCAATTCTCACCAACTAAACCACATTGCAATCTCTTAGCTTCAGGGGAGCACTGGGAACTTTTGAGCTGGGAGGACACAAACATGACCAGCTGGCCCTCGTATTGTAGGCGGGGTTTTCTGATACCTAAAGAAAGTGCGCCTCACAAAGGGATCTATTTATAAACCGTTTGCAGGTCCCTTCACTCTGTGAACAGTAATTTTGGGTGAATGACTAACGAATGTTCTTAATATATATTTTTTTCCACCAGTTTGAATGTAGTGTAATAATACAGTGGTCACCATGTCCACTAATACAGTGGACATGAAGTTTCTCCCAGTTCAATTGTAGTTTGTGATAATACATTATGGCCACTAGAGGGAGCGGAGGTGCATAGATATTTAGTTTGGTAGGCATAGTGAAAGGTGGGTAATGTCTTAAAGCAAATGGCTTATTGTGGCACAAATTGTTCTCGCTCGTTATTTATAGATTAATCATTCTCCCCTAATAACAGGACCCACCATCACTGACAAATGGCAAGCATTTTAAAGCTCCCAGCTCAGACCTGTGATCACAGAGCCTGACAAAGCAGCCTTCTAGTGTTGATCATCTTTGCAGCTCTTTGTATAGTCACATGACACCAAGGCTGACACTGGAAGACTTCACTCGGCCAGACTCTGACCACGGGTCTGAAAAGGAAGCAGCTAGCTACATCTGTTACTAAATGCGGTTACCTGTTCTCGTTGAGGTCTGAATGGTGGAGTACATCTACTCAGAGCTACCAACTCTGCATATCTTATTTTTACTAGCTCAGGGGACAAATGAGTCCCGGGCTCAGTCCTCCCCACTAGCTGATATACTATATTACCAAAAGTATTGGGACGCCTGACTTTACACGCACATGAACTTTAATGGCTTTCCAGACTTAGTCCGTAGGGTTCAATATTGAGTTGGCCCACCCTTTGCAGCTATAACAGCTTCAACTCTTCTGGGAAGGCGTCCACAAGGTTTAGGAGTGTGTCTATGGGAATGTTTGACCATTCTTCCAGAATCGCATTAGTGAGGTCAGGTAGTGATGTTGGACGAGAAGGCCGGGCTCGCAGTCTCCGCTCTAATTCATCCCAAAGGTGTTCTATGGTGTTGAGGTCAGGACTCTGTGCAGGCCAGTCAAGTTCCTCCCCCCCAAACTCCCTCATCCATGTCTTTATGGACTTTGCTTTGTGCACTGGTACACAGTCATGTTGGAACAGGAAGGGCCATCCCCAAACTGTTCCCACAAAGGTGGGAGGATGAAATTGTCCAGAATGTCTTGGTATGCTGATGCCTTAAGAGTTTGCTTCACTGGAACTAAGGGGTCCATCCCAACCCCTGAAAAACAACCTCGCACCATAATCCCCCCCTCCACCAAACTTTACACAATGCAGTCAGGCAAGTACCGTTCTCCTGGCAACCGCCAAACCCAGACACATCCATTGGTTTGCCAGACAGAGAAGCGTGATTCGTCACTCCAGAGAACACGTCTCCACTTCTCTAGATTCCAGTGGCGGCGTGCTTTATACCACTGCATCCGACGCTTTGCATTGCACTTGGTGATATGTAAGGCTTGGATGCAGCTGCTCGCCCATGGAAACCCATCCCATTAAGCTCTCTACGCACTGTTGTTGTGCCAATCTGAAGGCCACACGAAGTTTGGAGGTCTGTAGCTTTTGACTCTGCAGACAGTTGGCGACTTCTGCACACTGTGCGCTTCAGCATGCGCTGACCCTGCTCTGTCATTTTACTTGGCCTACCACTTCGTGGCTGAGTTGCTGTTGTTCCCAGTTGCTTCCACTTTGTTATAATACCACTAACAGGTGACTGTGGAGTATTTAGTAGCAAGGAAATTTCACGGAACACCTGAATCCAATGATTTGGAGGGGTGTCCCAATACTTTTGGTAATATAGTGTATAATTTCTAAAGAGCCACCTTACAAAGACGACTGTGCTTCTTCCCCACAGATCATCCTCCTGTAGACTAATAAGTTCTCACACCAGATTGTTACCCATTTTGCCTCCCACACAGGACAGTTGAACACATGCAGCAAAGCGTGCTACCACCCATTAACTCCCTCTACCTGATCTACCTACGTGTGTGCCCGCCCGTGTTTTCAGATAGAGTTTCATTTGAACTATCCAACAGACATTTTCTAGTGTTAATATAAACTTTTATTGCAAACATGACAATACACAATGGCCTTAATTATTAGAGATTATATTTTTTACATTTCTGAAATATAACTTGTTACTGGAGAAGTAAAATCTTAAGAACGCTGTAACTGCATTTTATGCTTCCTTATCTCAAGGTTAAAAAAAACACAAATATCACACTGTGTCTGGTAGTGTTATCCGCAGTAGATCGGTTTATGGGCTGAATAAGTTAAGTTGCAGGCACTTGACAAAGATTAGGCTTTTGTAAGATCCTGTTATTCTGCTTGTCTGACTACAAGAAGAAAGGTTTGCATACAGCATTGGGGTTTATTTTTATACCCTCTTTGTTAAAGGATAGGTGTACAGTCTGTTAAATGTGACGGCAGACAAGACAACCTTTCCAGTATTCAATCAATACCTTTTTTTTTTTTCACCTCTGCAGTGGCACCTCTACATATAGGGATTACAGCTTCCTGGAGCCATTGGTCCTATAAACTGTCCCCAAGCTGCAGGCAAAGGGGTATTGTCTTCTTCAGACTGACCCTCATCTTCTATAAGATGGTCAGATCCTGCAGCATGGAGACAGCTTGGTGTGTTCATAGGAGCAATGCTAAGCTAAAGAAAAGGATTTGTGCACACTACAATAAAAAAAAAAAACAATTTTAATACAGTAAATATTTTGACTCCAAACTAATTTCCTTTTTTAGAATGAAATAAAGGTAATTTAGCTCGTTTAGTCTTGTATTATGTGACACTGTAATGAAACTATTGGAATATTCATTACAAGCACTATCTACAGTTTGACAGCGAGACTCCTGCTGGAAGCTGCTGTCAACATAAACAGTAGAGCTGGGAGCGTGGCGGCCAAACTGACGACGGAAGATACAGGTGCGCTTTTTTGCTTCTGTTGTTGGCGTAGTCAGATTGAAAATGTAAAGGTGAGGGACTGGCAGGATTTGCAGGTATTGTACAGCAGACAAGTGGCTACACACAAACCTTAAGTTTAGGGGTAATGTACAATGTGATACCCTACGGACAGACACATCTGATTGATTTAGCATTTTGAAAGGTTCCATAGTTATCCTTAAACTACTGAGAGGAAGTCCCTGCCTTATTTTGCAGTCTCTATCAGAAAATACAGTATAGGGAGGCAATATACAGTGTGGCAATGAGAAATTGTACAGGTGGGGGGCTTTAGTTGCTGGCTAGTGATTGGTGTATGGGAGGCTGGAAGCAGCGCACATGTTCTACTGGTGTACTTTCTCCATCTCCTGCCTTCAAGTACTTTTCGAAGATGAAAAATATCTCATCGTTCAGCATCTGGAATTTACGTATGCGTTCCACCATCTTCTTCAAAGGCTGCAAAAGATAAAGGCAACAGTTAAATATGCGACAGGCCACTTTCGCATGGCACAAGCATAAGGTGGTTCTAGGAGGAGCACGGCTTGACTTGTTTTAATGAAGCGATTGTGATCTGATGTTACTTGCTCCGTTCATACCAAGTACAATGCTCTTTACAACACAGACGGGTCTAGGAGATAGCATTCACTTTACATATTTGGGTACCTTGAAGGTTTATGTACACTGGCTCTAAACTAAAAGCACACAAAAAACTGTATGCTTATGAGGCGCACTGACTTGCTTCACATTTACATGGGCTTTTATGGGGCTAAATACAGCTCATACGCAAACACACCCTTAAACTATGGACTACAACTGTTTAAGCCCCCCTTCAAACCTAACACAGATGCTGCGGGGTGTGTTGTGGTGTGCTGTGGTAGGGCAGCCCCTTTATTTGAATGGACTGCCTGGTGCGGCTAAATCACACTGAAAAAGTGCATGCATCTTTTTTAAAAATCTTTTCCCATGGTAATTGGTCACAACACACATGTGATGGCTAGGTGCATCGGAGAACAAGAAGATATAATAGTACAGCTGTGTACTTAACATTGCAACACGCGATATGGGATGGGGGGGCGCCAGCATACATACCACATTCTTGATTATCTCATCCTTGCCATCATGTTTCTGTACTTTCAGCAGATGATAGCAGAAGTCCATAACGTTGAAGCGCCGGTGCTGACCCAAAAGAACAATGATCATACAGCCAGCCCAGTGAAGGCCATCACCAAAACACTGCCTATTAGAAGAGTCAAATATTACTAATGAATTCACGGTACATATACAAACCGCAGAAGGCAACACACTGAACATGTATATAATATTTATTACATGCATTTATATTTTATATAGCGCCAACAATGTATCTACTGCAAATTAACCTACCAGGATGTTTTTGGGGTGTGAGAAGAAACTAGAATACCTAAAAAAAACTGTGCAAGCACAGGGAGAACATGTAAACTTCATGAAGATTGTGTCTTGGCCAGAATTCAAACTGAGGACAAGTGCTAACCACTATGCTGTTCATACGCTATACATGTCTATACTACGATGTACCCCATAGCCAGCAGTCTTTCCCAAAAACGTCCACACATTAAAGGACTTGCATCCTAACTAAAAGCTGGAATAGAACATTCTGCAGTGACCCCCATTATCCTAGGGGGTGACTAATATTCCAAGTGGGTAAAGCAAAACAAACGACAAACGCACTCAACAATTGGAGACTCTCATAGTTTAGAGTTAGGAGCGCACTATAAGAGGTGCCTTGGCGCGGCAGTGCGGCTTACACATCCTTTGCAGAAGACGTGTATCCAAACCTCTGTCATTGTCCTTAGTGGTGAGACAAGTTGTTTTACATGCTAGTTTGTGAGTGTGCCATGATGCCTTTCTACTGTTCTAATATTCCAAGTGCTGGCTACAGTGGATGAACACAAACAGAACAATGATGCTCAAATGTGTCATCATCCAAACAAGCTTGAACTGAGTGCGTCACTCAAAGAGCCCATATAATGCTAAATGGTTCCCTTACACCAATTATCATTCAGGTATTTATTACTTCAGCCGCAGTGAGCCCCAAAATGTTTAAGGGCCTGTTCACACGGCGTCCGTTTTGTGTGCTGACCTGATCCGTACGCTGCTGCACTCAAAATGCATCCCAATGTATCCCTATGTGTTTTATGGGCTACAGTTCTCACGTGCGCAGTCCGTTCAGGTTACGACAGAAAAATACTGCATGTCACATTTTGTATGGTCAGGAAACGGTCCGGAAACGCAAAAACGCACTGCACTGCAGCTTACTGACAGCCCCACTCCCAGTTAAAATGTATTTTTTTTTTTTTGCTGAACGCATCAAAAACGCGGCAAAAACACATAGCACCCTGTCTGCAGATCCGCACCTGATCCGGACCTGAAACTCATGTGAACAGGCCCTCCATGAAGCAGTTTTGATATTAGAAGACAAGTCTGTCTGATAACACATAATGTGACGCAAGATACTTACTCCACGGTGAATTCATGAGCACCCACTGGTATGCAGTAGACAAACTGCATAGCACTCCAGAGTCTATGGAACTCTACGCACTCATCTACATGCATCACACCATTGCTGGGAAGAGGGCCGCGCCAAATAGGATCTTCAAGAAAAGTGCGGACTCGAGTAAGAATAACTTCAAACATCGACAAGCCACAGCAGAGACGTTCTTTGGTCAGTAAATCACCTTCTCTTGCTATGGCAATTTGCTGTAAAAAGGAAGTCCAACATGAAAACTAGCCAATCAGAATACTCAGAACAGCAATAGCAGACTGAGAGTTTAATCTTTATTCTAACACCCTCCAATCTGAATCGTTTGTGTTTGCAGTCACTGAGGACATACCTGAGGAGTCCCTAATCTTTCTAAGAGTGGCACCAGGTGGAGTGGAGCGTACTTTGATTCCAGTCGTTTCATCTTTGCCTCCAGACGTTCCCCTTCTGGAAATCAAAGCATACATATTTATGTCTTAAAGGGAAGCCAGTGTTCTTTCCTTATTATGTTCAATACACAACAATTTGGGTTTTTCATTTCCATTAGGGGAATACGAATCGTTACACATGGATATGACATATACATATATACCATTTGCAGCCAGCAGGGAGAGAGCTATGTTAAGTCTAGCTACTGAAATCTCATTCTTTCTAAAATACTGTACATCTGAATGTGTCAGAGGAAGGAGAACCCCGACCTTGGCTAGCACAGAAGACAAAGTCTTAATTGTGGGATTAACACATGTGATGGAAAGCACAAAGGCACTGCTTTACAAACACATTGTTGTGTACTCTAACATACAGTATGTTTATTTGTAAATGAAAGGTTATACGGTATAAATAACTAAAAGCGTTATAAAACACCAGTTTACTAACCCGTAAATTAAAAGTATAAATGTTTTTCCCTTAAATACATCTATACAAAATATTCATACCATTGCTAACATGCTGTGTATAAGATTAGTTCAGCAGTATCAGTTTTTTTTAAAAACATAACTTTATTCTCACTGTTCAGACATCTTCAATCTCCATCCTCCTCCACCCCAAACACAACATAACTGACCTGCTGTACAGAGCCCCAACCCAAGCTCAATCACTTTCCATCCCTCACAAACCATTCTATACCTGCTGTATAGACGACCCACACTTCCACTGCATATACACCATATTATTTCTGCTAACCAGACACCCCTACCTCAACCCCTGCTATCCCAATCTCACTCCCCTATTCTTTGCCCATTATCAATCCCCCTCCATCCCACACGCCATTATTTTCCCATTATCCAGACATCCTCTCTACTCGCACACAATTCTACTCCTGCTATCTATCTAAACATCCTTCATATGGATCCCTCTCCATCCCACACATGGCATATTATTTCCACTATCCACTTTCCTGCTATCTAAACATCCTCCATCACAATTCCCCTCCACCCCACACACTATTCTAATTCCTTTAACTAGACACCCTCCCATCTCAATCCTTCTCCAACACAACCACACAATTCTAGAATCGCTATCCTGACAGGTTTCCTTCTCAACACCTCTCGGCCCCACTCTATTCCCAGTATCCAGAAATCTTTACATCTCAACGCCCATCCACCACACACACCACTCTATTCCCAGTAACCAGAAATCTTCCCATCTGAAAACACTTCCGCACACACTACTTTCCGCTATCCAGATCTCTTCACACAACCACACCCCACACATACCATTCTATTCCCACTATACACTATTTCCACTGTATATTTGAAATATTTCCATCCCAATACCTTTCCACCCTATACACATGAACGTGAAGTCTCATTTAAATGTTGCAAACAATTCAGTAACTACTTCAGCTCTCCTACCTGTATACCCCTTATGGACCACAGCTATTTGTACATAACCACTGTGGGCTTGTGTATCTGGAGATAATTTTGTATAATGAATACATACATTTTTTTTTTTTTAGATAAACAAGGCTTTGTTTGTTTTGGTGACGAGGGAGCATGGAGCTGGCTTCCAGGCCATTCAGGAAGCCGGGGTGCGGGTAATGACTCACTGCCCGGCTTCCTGATACCGGAGGTTCTGGCATCGGGAACATTTACTATTATCAGTATCAGTGCATCCCTAATTAAATGCTTCATATTCTACAACACTTCTTTCATTTTTCTGTACTGAAAAACATATGCGGTCTAGTTTTTGTTTTTTTTGTTAAAAAAGAAACTATGGCCAAACCTTTTTTTGGTGTTCGTTCTCTTCTGGGTCACGGGAGGACATTTACCAATGTCCTCCTGTGACCCAAAAATTTGCATAAAGCCGAAAGCGCAGAGCCGTGCTGTGGCCGGAAAAGATCCTGACATTGTCGGCATCCACCCCACTACCTGATTGACAGCTGGCTCTGCCTCTCTAGAACCAGAGCTAGCTGTGCCCGCCCCCTCCCCTGTCTGTCCCTTCAGTCAGCACTGTAAGAACAAAAAGGGAAGGGGGGAATCCCTGCGGGGAGCAGTGACTAACAGTCATAACTCTCTGCAGGGAGGTTTGTGAACTGAGTGTTCACAAAACGGTTTGTGATCGCCCATTTCTCAATCTATAGAGCCAACGTGTGACAGCTGCAGTGTCACACATCGACTCTTACTATGGGCATGAGTGTATTTCACACACTCTCCCTAGTTCACCTTTAAAAGGTACCTTCAATGTTCTGTTGCTGAATGTAACCTGTACTGCTGTGGTCAAATGTTGTGCATAGTCATGGCTAATATTTATATTAATGTGAAGTGAGAATTTATATAGTTAATTTCTTTAAGTATTACTAACATTTGTCAGTATAGCAGGTTAATATACTGCCATCTTGTGGTCATTGTGGTTATTGCACCTTCTTTTACTGTGTTCCCTCCCCTTGTGTGTAATGTACTTCCTTTATTGTCCAAGTTGTCTTTTCCGGTGTCATGACTGCCTATAGCGGGGCCACATATAATATGCTCGCTTGGAAACATTATCATCTTTAACCTGCAAATATTGTCTGTTTAATCATCTGCTGCATACACTAAAGAAGTTTGGGGATGAAAAGGTATTTGGTGAGTTCAGCTATCTGATAAGGATTGTATCTGCTTATACAGGCCAGTCATAGGGGTCTCAGCAAGGGATACATCGCTAATACAACAATTGGAGTCAGAATAAATGTAGTGCTCAGTGTAATAGTTCATGTGTGTTCTCTGATCACCAGTTACCACTTCATCCTAACCTCTTGAACAACAAAAAAATAAAAAGTGAAATTTGTAGGAAGGTTAGTGAAAAGCATCTTTTGGTGTTGCACTCACCTTTAACATGGACTCTGGGCAGAATGTTCTGGAAAGGTGCAGCATGGAGCAGGTCACACACTTCTTCTAGTGACTAAGAATAGTTCAATAACATACATTTAGGGAAGATGTCATACTCATACAGGAGAAACATCGGAAAACATACACAGGTATAATCATTTATAATGCGCTGACTGCAGTGATATTAATCTTCTTTTGTTTTATTCTGTCCTGTGCTTCTAGAGCTAGATGATGACAAACAAGAAACATTTCTTTCAATTAGTGTCTAATGTTCTAGCTAAATGAAGCTAAATTGCTGCGCTCCAATGACTAGACTAATTCTGTTGCTACGATACACCGAGCTCTGAAAAGCATGTGATTAGCCAGTCATTTTGTCAGACCCCTCAGCCCATGAAATATAAAATCTCTTGTAATCCCCCAGCATGATTGTTCTTGGATTGGTGTGATCCAGTAAATGCACAATAACGCCCTGCCAAGGTGACGCAGCCACATTTTATAGCGTCACTTGTATCCTGCAGAAACCCTGTCAAGGTCAAGCAGTGCTACACAATTTCCATGCAAACAGCTGAGAGATCAACAGAGAAGAATAGTGAAGCCAGGGCTATTATAGGCACAATTATGAAGACCTGTGGTAGCTGGGGAACTCATTTCTTTTTTATATATCAGCAGAGTAATTATAATCATCATGCTGATGTTGCCCAGCTGTAGCTGCAAACTGAACTCAAAGCAGGTATTAACCACTTCAGCCTTATGGACCTGAGCAAGTTTCACATTTCCACTAGGGGCCTGTTTATTCAGCAGTACCTTTCTTATTATTTAAAGTGACACTAAACTCAGGAGTTAAACCTTAAAAATACATTCAAGTACCTTAACAATTAACAAAAATGTATCTTATTTGTGTATTACTCGGCTCAAATCATCTCTGAATTGGTGCTGACACTGTCCTTCCTTCTGGAGGGTGGCTACGTTTGTTCACCATGGTCCCTGTGGGTGTTGTAAACTAGCCAGCGCTCCAAGCTCACTCCTGTGATGGACTGCAATCTCACATTTAGTTTACTAATTTGTATTTAAATATTAGTCCATCACAGCAGTGAGCTTGGAGCGGTGCCTACTTTAGAACACACACAGGAACCATGGGGAATAAAAGTAACCACCCTCCAGAAGGAAGGACAGTGTCAGCACCAATTCAGAGATTATTTGATGATCTACAGCCGAGTGATACACAAATAAGGTCCAGTATTGTTAATAGTTAAGATACCTGAATGTATTTTAAGATCTAACTCTTGAGATTAGTGTCACTTTAAAATAAAAGAAATACATGTGGGGGGAATTTATCATAGCAATTGCGAGTGTTTGAACTTGCACGGAATATATTTGCGTCAGATTTATATTGCTGGTGTAATGTTGTTGATAAATGAGGTTTAATAGACTCCAGGAAAGAAGACTTGTAACTCCAGGCAAAAAGCTTAACTGTTAAAGAAGTGGTCATGGGGACTTCTCAAGTAGCGATTGTTTTGTTAGGTGATGCTCCAGTTTCAGACAGCCGCAGGACAAGTGCAGATGAAAACACGTGCAAAACACGTGCAGTTGGAAAAGCAGTGCAAGCTCTGGTGAAAACGGGCGCATGTCAAAAGACAGATTTGCACGTTAAAAAAATGATCTAAGAGGCTAAAACTGTCGCAATTGCTTTGATAAATTCCCCCCATTGTTTATAGAGGGACAAACAAGACTTTATATTGGCAATATTGTCTTGCAAAAATATTTTTTCGATGTAATCCATAGACAAAATACTATTTTGATCTGCGTTTGTTTTTTTAGCTGCACTGTAATTAAAAACATTTTTTTTTTTTTGAAATACTGCACATATTCCTTTGTGACCAAAAAAAACTAATAATAGCTAATGGGAGAAGGAATTAATTAGGGCTGACTAAGGGTTAATAGGGTGTAAAACAGAATGATTTGATGAATGTGTTGTTTACATGCAAGGTTATTTAATGGATGTCACATGTAGAATGAATCACACCTTTGATCTACATATGAATGAAATCTTAAGTACAATTTAATACTGATTATTTAACCACTTAAATGTAGAAGATACATCCTAAAAAAGGTAAATAAGGTTTCTAGGACATCTTTTCTAAATTCAGCTTCTCTCCCTTGCTGCCACTAGTACCAGCCTTCAAAATGACTTGGGGGGAAATCGCTATACATTGCATAGAAGGAGAGGCGGTCACAATGCAGCTGCTCCTGTGTAAAATTACACTTGCAGATAATATACAAGTGTCATTGAGCAAAATGGTGTAAAAAAATCGGTTATTTTTTCAAGTAATTGAAAAACTTAAATTTGTTTATAAATAGACATTGTATAAATTCCTGTATCCACCCTAATATTGGCTCTGTAATTCACTGTATTGCACATTGTAAGAGGAAGGCTCTGTTGCTTAGAATGTGCATGTCGTCGGGAGAGTAGAGCACAGGATAACCTCATCAATGTGCTGCTACTCATTCCCAGTTCAAATCACAGGCTGTGGGGGGTCCTGGAACAGGCTGCAGTGTACCCTGAAGGGAGGTCAAAGCCCTGGCTGTGCTGCCTGAACCACAAGACTGGTGAAGGAGAGTTACAAATCCTTTGCTTGGTGAACAGTAAACATTTATATTATTTGTGTATTTACTCATTTCGCTAGAGCTCAACTTTAAAAAAAAAATGAGAACAGTTTGATATTTAAATGGTCTACGAAGCACCATTGCAGCCGATTAAAAATCATTAAACCATTGTGTACATAGGTTAATTTGCATGTTGTTAATGAACACCATCAATTATTAGGACACTTTTCCTGATTTGCACAACCTTTTTCATAATGGGGTCATTCAGAGAAAAAAACCTACATTAGCATCTCATTTATGCTTTTAATAACAGTCAATTAAACAGGAGTTTGTGTGAAGAAGTCATACTGTGGCATGACTGTTACATATTAACACTACCTACTCATCATACAATTGGATTGCACACTTACCTGCATTTATTTTACAACTGTAAACATGGGAAAATGTTTATTGCAGAATGAGACAGCAAACATTAAAAAAAAAAAACGGTATAAAAGGCAATGGCAAGGGTTGCCAAGATTATATGGTGGTATAAGCCATTGGTAGTATGCTAGTATAAACATTTTGCTTTCTGGATGTGACCACATGAAATAGCCTATCAACCATATGATATTCATATTGTAAGAGGAATAAAATGAGTATGAATGAAGAATGTCTGACAGAAATTAGACCAATTCCACTAATAAGAATAACTAACTATAATAAATACTGATGGAAATGGCCAATTATTCTGCACAGAGAACATTTTATCTGGTCATATTCAGACTTGTTTTATGGTTTAGCAAATATGTAACTTGTTTTCTACAGGCAACAGATCAACAAAGAGAACATTCAAAATCCCCACCCATATACTGTTTGTGTGTGTGTGTGTTATATATTTACACACACACTGTATATATATCTATAGATATATATCTATAGATATATATATCTATAGATATATATCTATAGATATATATACAGTGTGTGTGTAAATATATAACACACACACACACAAACAGTATATGGGTGGGGAACCTGGATGTAGCCCAGCAGACTTTGAAACAGAGTCTAATCACTAGGTCAGGAACTTGCAATATGTGCAATAGCTGGTTGTCATGGATTGCTGTACATATTATCTGCACCAGGACGGGAAACTACACAATACCCAACTGGGCGATAAGGGGCCCGAGGGTCTGTCCTTGGGCCCCTTCTATTCTCCATCTACACCTCTTACCTGGGTCAGTTGATAACCTCCCATGGCTACCAATACAATATCTATGATGACGACACCCAAATATATCCCCCCCCCACCCAGTCTCTTCACGTATCACTAATCTACTTACTGACATCTCAGCATGGATGTCACACCATGACCTCAAACTCAATCTGTCCAAAACTGAGCTTATAATATTTCCTCCTCCGACTTCTCCATCACAATCAACAGCACTACAATAAATCCCTCCCGTCAAGCCAGGGTGCTCGGAGTAATCCTTGATCCCGAGTTCTCCTTTCAGCCCCACAGCTAATCACTAACTATATCTTGCCGACTCAACCTCCGTAACATTTGTAAAATACGCCCCTTTTTAACAACCGAAACTGCAAAGCTTCTCATTCACTCCCTTGTAATCTCTTGCCTCGACTACTGTAACTCCCACCTTGTTGGCTTACCTCTAAAACAGGCTACCCTCCCTTCAGTCTTTTATGGCTGCTGCTGCCACTCATCCACCTTACCAACTGGTTGCTCAATGTCTGCCGCCCCTCTTTGCCAATCCCTTCACTGGCTATCAATTGCCCAACTAATAAAATTCAAAATACTAACATCATACAAAGCCATCCACAACTCTGCCCCCGACTGCATCTCCAACCTCATCTGAAAATATAACCCACCGTCCCCTCAAGATCTCCTGCTCTCTAGCTCTTTCATCACCTCCTCTCATGTTCACCTCCTGGACTTTTCCAACAGTGTCTCCCATTTTCTGGAACTCCCTACCCCAATCTGTCCGCTTACCTCCTATGCTTTTCACCTTTAGGTCGATCCTTAAAAACCTATCTATTCAGGGAAGCCTATCCCACCTCAACATAACTGCCCTTTTACTTCTTCCATTAACTCAATCTAAACATTTATTACCTTTTGTATCACTTGCCCTCCTACTAGATTGTAAACTCTCACGAGCAGGGCCCTCCTAACCCTACTGTACTGAAGCTGTATTGTAATTGTACTGTCTCCCCCATTTTGTAAAGCGCTGCACAAACAGTTGGTGCTATATAAATCCTGCATAATAATAATATGGTGTCAAGGATTAAAGTACATAGTATATGCACTATGATGGGAAACTACAAAATACCAAACTGAGCAATAATATGGGGTCATAGATTAGTGTACATACCAGGCTCTGTTCAATGAGAAGACAGAAGAGCAGAACATTGCCCACTTCCCTCAGATTCTGGAAGCACACGGTCTTCAGCTCAGCATATTCCACTATGTCCTTCAGCTGATGATGGAAGAACTCCAAGATGCCTAATATAAGAGTTCAAAAATAAATATACATGAACTTATTTATAGTCAGTTTCTGCTTAAAAAAACAAAGGAAAAAGGTGAAGGAAAGTACCAAAATGAAGGAAATGCATAGTAAGTGTATTTTATAAACTGTTGACAGCCTTGGGATTTTTAATACTTGGACATTCATGGTTTAAATCCTATTTGTTAGTGCCTCCTGTTATTCCCCGGGCCCTTCACCAAAGTATGCTCTGCTATATGGGGCTTCCAGCATATAAACTCCCCCACATAACAGTGCTCGGGCTTGAGCGCCCATTTACCCAAGGTGGACTCCTGCAACAGCGGGGTAGCAAGGTAGCATGGATTGGTAAGTACACTTAGCTAAAGGGGTGGGGTATCTGGAGGAATCTAAATGGGTCAGTGACAGTGTTTCCAAAAGTAAAAGCTGCAATGCCTGAGTACTGCAGGTGTTAGAAAGTCTGCAAAAATGAATGCTTTATAAGCATGAGCAAAAAAAGAGAATTGAGATACAATACATTAAAATAGTACAACTGAGAGAAGAATTGTTCAGGTCAGAATGTGAATTCTTATAATTTCAATGAAATGCAGTTATTTTATGGACAGGACAGATATTCAAATATATGCACCTGTGATACTGTGAAAAACAAGAAACTGAAGCACATGCTTGTTCCAGGCCAATGACTTAATGGGTAGTGATACAAGGATAAGGTTCACAACCCAGATATTGCACCTTCAAAAACAGGTTAGCAATGGCAGCTCCCTAGTTTTATCCTGAAAGGTTCCTTTTAATTTCAGTTGTTGAGGGCGTCTATCAGATTAAGATTTCTGGACTTCAGTGGAGACTGGTGTCTTAGTTCCAGTGAAACAGGTTAAATTCACATGTGCAAAGTAATGGAAATCCTGAAAACAAAATGTCTCTGGAACATTAGATTTTTTTCTAACATGAAAATCTGGTTTCTTTTTATAGTTTGTGATTACACGGGGGAACCCAAACTGACTAAAGACTGATAAATTGATTATAATAGGTTTACAATGAATCTGGCATTGGCTTTGTAAGTGACATGATTGAATTAAAAAGAGTCCTTTAACACTGTCATTCCTTCTGGAGGGTTGCCACTTTTGCTTCCCATGGTCCTTGTGTGTGTTGTAAAGTAGCCACCACTCCAAGCTCACTTCCATGATACACTATACGTTCAACACAAGTTAGTAAACTAAACGTGAGATTGTAGTCCATCACAGGAGTGAGCTTGGAGCGGTGGCTACTTTACAACACACCATGGGACCATGGGGAACAAAAGTAGCCACCCTCCAGAAGGAAGGACAGTGTCAGCATAAATTCAGGGATGATTTGAGTATCTACAGCCGAGTGATACACAAATAAGATACATTTTTATTAACAGTTATGGTACTTGAATGCATTTTTAAGATTTAACTCCTGAGTTTAGGGTCACTTTAAAGATTTGTTATTTGTTAATGCTGACAAGTAAGGTGTGAGTTATAATGAACTGTCTAACATCTTTTCAGCTCATAACTTTGCTGCTCTCATTTTATGAGGATGAAATGTAACGTTTCAGGCTTGAACAATGTGTTTTTTTATGGTAATTGCTAAAGGAGCTTGTAGTAATTATTTCATTCTATAAAGATAATTGTATTTTCACAGCTTCACACTGAAACACAAGTGGCAGCTACAGCAACTATGGCTATAGCAATACTCTATTAAAAGTGACCTGTGTCATGAGCAGCTTTTGTATCCATTGTCATTCTCCTCCAAGTACTCATGTCAAACCCGATGTTACAGACAATGGAGGTGCAATGGTCAAGTATTACCTATAGCAACTAGTCACTTCATTCTGAATATTAGATTTTAGGAGAGTTGTAAAATCTGAATTTTACATATCACAAAAATTGGTAAACCTAAAGGAAACTATACCAAACAATACGCAAGACATTGCAAAAAGTTATTAAACTGGAACAAGACACTTTTCCTCTCATTCATTGTGTGTTGCTAAATTATACACATTAGCAGTTTTAAGCACGTTAATTGGCTTTGTTAGTTCCTCGCAAACTACTAATTTGTACTTGGCATAGTTTGTAATTATCCATTTTTTCAAGCTTCAACCTTGTAACTTCAAGTTTTGATCCTTTAATCCAGAGATAATCACTAATCTGAATTGCATCAATTCATTCAGAAAGGTTGACAAAGCAATAACTAGGAAAAGACAAGGTGTAAAACCCTATAAGGCTTAACTGTTACACACTGCAGTTAGCAGTCCATGTATTTTTAACAGGAACCATTTACAGTCATTGAATGTGGCTTTTCTTGACATTAATTATGCTTTCCACACATGTGCCCCTCAGGAGGTTGCATGCCACATCCCATGATTGCAATCATGTAAGGTTTATGATCTCTGTTGAGTATTATTCCTGCTCTATGCAAAATATATCCAGAAACATACAGGATTAGCACAAAGGATTAAGACCTTAGCCCCATCTCCCTCTCACAAATCCCCTCAGAAGGGCTCACACGACAGATGACACATTTTAGCTGTTTATGCCTGATATTTCATTACAAAAAAACAAAACAAATGCATCTGTAAAACTGGCCTTTAGGTATACATCAAAAAACAAAACAAAAAAACAAAAACAAAAACAGAAGCAGATTTCCAGTTTAATAGGCAAATAAAATGCAAAATAAGATCTGTTTCCTATGTTGTCTGCAGCTGTGGTCATAGAAGAATCATTGATCAGTAGTACACAAATCAAGATCAAACACTACACCTGCTCATATAGAAGTACACCTAATTTTAGACAATCGGACCGTAATATATGAAGCCTACTATGGATGACCATAGGCTGGCAGATCACAGATCAAACACTACACCTGCTCATATAGAAGTACACCCAACTTTAGACAATCAGACTATAAATATATGAATCCTATTATGGATGACCATAGGCTGGCAGATCACAGATCAAACACTACACCTGCTCATATAGAAGTACACCTAACTTTAGACAATCAGACCATAATATATGGAGCCTACTATGGATGACCATAGGCAGGTAGGCAGGCAGGCAGCTCTATCGCATTGAGGGATGGAGAGTTATCTGCTAGCAAGCAAGGTGTCAGAACGTTGACTTTTCATTTTCACTCATCTAAACAAGGATTCAGCCTTCATGCAGGCCACCTGGAGGTCAGAGAAGGCCTGAAATTTCTATTGAGGAGCACTACAAGTGTAAAGGTGCCCATACACTGTGCGATTATTGCACGATAATCGCGGGAAATCCCGCGATCGTACGATAATCGCAAAGTGTATGGAAGACGTGCGACCGTTTTTACTGTACGGCCGCACGTCTTTTGTCTAGGGAGCACGCTAGAAAACCAGCCGTAAATCGTACGATTTTCGGCTGGTTTGAACGGTGCTCAGGAGACAAATGCCGAAACGCGCACACTGCCCGTTTAGCATTGCGGTCATCGGAAGCCCGCCCCTTAGGGGGGGCGGGCTTGCGATGATCGAGAGTACGATCTGCCTGTCCAAGATGGGCAGATCGGACGTTTTTTAAATTACTTTACAACCATCGCAAGACTAAGGTCTTGCGATGGTTGTAAAGTGTATGGGCACCTTAAGTGAAGACTCCTATTTTTACAGTACTACTCACAGTTAAACTGGAACTATAGGCAAACAAAAATATATTGAAATACATTTATAGGAGTGTTGCATGACAAAATGTTTGTAATTCAGTTAATCTACTCTTGTGATTCACACATACCTCCCAAACTGCATTGTCAGGAAAATTACAACACTATTCACTACTGCAGCTATTCACTGCTGCAGCTTTGTGCCATTTACCTGATCATTGGACTTGGCAACAAGTCCTTGCTGTACTTTTCTGCAACCACCCTGACCACATCCTAGTCAAACTCCCATTGCCAAAGTACAGAAAATATTACATTAGAATGAGAGTGATGTGGAATAAAAGAGAGCCTGTCTCACAATTCTAAGCTACTCATTGACAGCCTGATCTGTAGGGTTTTGGGGGAAGATAATGGAAAAACTTAGAAATTAACTTTCAGTTCAGCTTTAAGTGCATCAGAACAAGGCATGTGCAAAGTCTATTTTCTTCAGAAAGCAGTCACAGCCTGAGTAAAAAAGCCTGCCCCCTGCACGCATTCTGCAAAGGAAAATCCTTGCACTATGCGTGGAAGCAGAGGTTTTTCTACAGGGATCCGACATGCCCCCTGCTGAGTAAGAGCTACAGCTCTCTAGTCCCAAAGGTAGAAAACTCCCCCCACAAAGAGTGGTGTGAATTCAAAAGTGGTACCACTCTTGAAGGTAAGTTCCTTTAAAGGGAGGAACCAGAGGGTTAATACCCCCGCCTTAGACAGTTGTACCTGAAATAGGTATCCCCCATTGTAAGATTTCCCTTTACTTCTTCTTCTAGGGACTTGGCTTTACCCTCCCTTTTTTTCTCAGTCACAATGGTCACCAGTAGAAACAGAGGATGATATCCCAAATGGGGGGACAGATGACCGCAATGCAAACTTGACAGAAAGTCTAACCCTTCCCCACGCTACCCAAAGTTTAAAAAAGGTTCTGCGTGCAGATATACTTTAAAGGGCAAATCCAGGCAACAGGTGAAAGCAATAACGGCATGGTTTACCTTATTGTGTTAGTAGCTTACTGGGTTGAAATCAGAGTGTTTACTCTAAATACACTAATCATTTTTGCGAGGGAGCAAGCAAGGTGTTCCATGATCACCAGATTACTGACAAAAGGGATTGGGGTGGACAAGTGTATTAACAATGCATGAATGAAAAATGTAAGTAATGAGCAGGTAGGCTGTGCCCCCCAGTATGCATCTCAAGGCTTCATTTTCTGTTTGGACTGAAGTATGTTTAGGAAGTCTGTAGTATATGCTGGGAAATTTCTGCAATGTCATACAAAGCTCTCAAATACATAAAAAATGTGTTAGGTTCCAGTAAATGGGCACACTTCTTATTAATATTAAATAGTATCAATAGTATAATCTAAAATGTAGCTTTAAAATAACTCTAAAAAGTCGTTACACGGTGTCACAGTTGCATGCTTCCTCTACTCACTACACCAGCGGTAGCAAACCTCGGCCCTCCAGCTGTGGTGGAACTGAAAATCCCATGAGGCATTGAAAGATTCTCACAGCCACAGATATCCTGAAGAGAGATGCTTCATGGTATTTGTAGTACCACCACAGCTGGAGGGCCGGAGGTTTGCTACCCCTGCACTACACACTGGTTTACAATGTTGGGACAAGGTCCCCTGGCACCCAAGGGGATGATGCATAGTGCGTCCCTGTGGAATGAAGGAGTTAATAAAATAATTAGGGTTAGCTGTCCATTTATTCTGCAATGTATCCTTTTATTAAGACGCTAGAATCATGTTTCTGGTACAAAACATTCAGATGAATATATTGACAGATAGTCCATTGAACAAAAGTAAAGAGAATCTAAAATGAACATTATTTAAAAAAAAAAAAAAAGATTAACAAAACAAATGTGTGTCTTAACTATAAAATCAATTTCTTGGAATACATCACAAGACATAGGGAGTTAAATCTTGAACAAATGTATTATGCAGCTACCTTTAGGTGATTAGAAACTTGTAAATCAAAGCTGTTAAGACAGCTCTGTATAACCACTCCCAGTCTGACCCATTTTTGTAGCAATCAGTGCGAGCTTAGATCACAGAAAACCAAAGGGGAGGGTCCCGTGTCATATGATGTACTCCAAGAAATACATTTTAAAAGATCTGACAAAAATCATGTTCTTATTCATACATTACTGGACACAGGAAGTTAAAAACGGATGGGACGTCCAAAAGCCGTCAAAAGGGTTGGGCAACACCGCAACAATAGCTAACAGGCCCATGAAAACAACATCAATCAAAAACAGCCAGCAACTTTAACAGAAAGGGCCCACAGCTCAGAGGGCTAGTTGAAGAAGCCTGTGACCGATGCTAGCATCTGCAAGTCTGAATGTCCAACTGGTAACGCTTGTGCAGTGTGAACAGAAGACCAGGTGGCAGCCTTGAGGTGCCCATTCACTGGTCGAATTTCAGCTGGTTTTTAATGTACCGAGTAAAAATTCACAGTGTGTGGGGCTGTCGGCTCCCTTTCAGCCGGCATTCCTCAATCAGGTAATCGAAAGAGCTGGCTGGAAATTTTCAATCGATCCTAGCTGGCAGTCAATGAGCTGCCCGCTCTGCTCGGGTATACAATGCAAACAGTGGGATTCCACGATCAACATGCTGTTTGTGCTGATGGAGGAATCGGGTCAATTGTTTTTGTTTAGCAGGCAGGTTGAATGACAAAAATGGATGTGTGTGACCAGCCTTACAGATTTGCATACTGAAGTCTGATGCTGAAAGGCCCAAGAACTACTAAAGCTCCTAGTAGAATGAGCCTTTACCTAAAAAGGGGGAAACATTTACCCGTTGGTTCATAGGTCTGACTGATATTTTGCCGAATCCACCTAGTCACAGTGAAACAAGAAGCTGTCCCATACAGGGACATTGAGGAATGACAAAGAGGGAGTCAGACTTGTGGAAAGAAGTTGCAGCAGAGGTAAACTTGAACAGCCTGAACCATGACCAAACACTGGATAGAAACGTCTTTAGGATGTTTGGGTGCAGGACATAAGGATGGTAAAACAATGTCCTGGTTAAAGTGGAAGGCAGAGGCCACTTTAGGAAGAAAGGAGGCCTTAGGTCTTAGTACTACCTTATCCTTGTTCATAACCACAAAGTGCTCTTTACATGAGAAGGTGCCACCGCAAACACACCGGGCAGAAGAAATCAAGCCTCTGAGCAAGTAGGTAGAGAGGAGTGTCTCTGAAAGATTTTAAAGGGCAGCTTCTGCAGAGAAGACAGAACTAGCGGAGATCCCACAGATTTAACGGAGTGGGTAAAGGGTGTCAACATGATCGACCCTCTGCATAAAGGCCTACACTAGAGAGTAAAAGGCAAGTGGAGTCTGGAAAGAAATCGTCAAGACAGACATTTTGCCCTTGAAAGACCTAAAGGCTAAATTCTCGTCTAGACCAGACTGGTGGAAAGATAAGATGTACTTCATTGCTTTGCACCATGTGAAATAAGCATTCCAAATGTGATGGTAGACCTTGCAGGAGGTAAACTTCCTAGCTTTCAGAATCATAGTGATGACGTGAATAAGAGGCCTCTGCTCTTCAAGATCTGTGCTTTAACAACAAGGCTGTTAAAAGCAGCAACAGAAAAGCAAGGTGAAATATCAGTCAGTGACCCGGAAGTGCCCAACAAGAGTCTGCCAGGAGTTGGACTATGCCCAGCTACTATGATGTCCTGGGCCAGTTGGGAGAAATAAAGATAACTGGAATGGTCTCGGTCTTGATCCTGTGAATGAGGCGAGGCAAGAGTTTTAGAGGAGGGAAAGAGTAGGATAAGGCTGAACTGATTTCACAGAGTAACCAAGGCACCAATGGCGAAATTTGTTGTTGGCACTCGCAACGCCTGGAATGGCCTGCCAAGGAGGAAAACGATCCAGATAGCTGCTGTTAGTGCTGCACTGACTGTCAGGAGCATTTAGGAAAATTTGCTTGGAGTCTTCAGCACAAAGTGAAGAAAAAGGATGTACTTCTATCTGAGCAGATCATTTAGGGTCACTAGCAAAAATCTGAGGCAGGCTGGGAGTGGAGGGGCTATACAGGGCTGTCCTCATGGCTTTGAACTCCAGTGTTCAATTACCTGACGTTAGCTGCATAACCTATCGCAGTGGTGGCGAACCTTGGCACTCCAGCTGTTTTGGAACTACAAGTCCCATGAGGCATTGCAAGGCTCTGACAGCCACAGACATAACTCCCAGAGGCAGATGCATTCTGGGATTTGTAGTTTTGGAACAGCTGGAGTGCCAAGGTTCGCCACCACTGACCTATCCATTCAAGATTTAACTCCCTGTGTCCTGTGATGTACGAGCAACAAAAACAGCTTTTTAAGCGAGTGCCAAGAAAGAGTGTAGGGGAAAAAAACAAACAAACCCTGATTAGGCATTTCTAAAGTGCATGTAAGCTGCAATTTAAACCAACAAATAATTTTGGCACCAAAAAGTAATTCTCGCTTTCCTTCCTCTGCATATGTATTCCCAATGCATTAGCAAGAGATATTACCTTCTCAGATGCCTTGATGAACAGAAAATTACATCGAGCACCCAGCCTCAGATCAGCAAGGTGACCACTAAAGCGGCGTAATATGGGCCAAACCCCCATCAAAGACAAAAGCCACAACCATCCAGCCCACAACTTTTTGGAAATTATCCACTCTCCTACCTACCCTGCAAGGGACTCTGTGAAGGACTCTACCAATGCCAAACTAGCTGCCTTTTGTCAGTACAACAGAGTAGTCACTAAATTTGCATAATTTAAAAAGATACAGTATAATGATTTCATGTAAACGTTGGAACTCAGAGGCAGTAAACACCTGTCAGAAATAATATAATAATAATAAAAGTCAATTTATTGAAAGCACACACATTAGTAAAAAAAAAAAAAAAAAAACACATTCACTATAACACCACACCATTAAGTCTTTCAAAATGTAGCTCTGCCTGAAGCTTATCTGTAATATAAAGTTCAGGGGTGTCAAACTCAATTTCATTGCGAGCCACATCAGCAATATGGTTGCCCTCATAGGGCCAGTTGTATCTGAAAGACTACTGCATATAAATGTATCTACTCTATCATATTCAATCATTGCCTCTGCATTCGATTATTACTGGTTTTAGTAATAACTTAACAACTAGCTCTGAAAGTAGAAGTCTAGGAAAAAGAATTGGCAATTAGTGTAATAGTGCAGACTGTCAGGTGGCTGTGCAGGTTCTATGGCAGGCCATATGGGGTCTCTGGTTGGCTGTGTGGAGTCTCAGGTGGCTGTGCGGGGTCTATGCTAGGCTGCACAGACTCTCAGGTGGGTTGTGCCGGGTCTTAAGGGTTGTGCAGTCTCACCGGGGCTCTCGGTGGGTGCGGGCAGCGTGAATCCACAAGAAGAAGTAGATTCGCTGCCGGCGCTGTAAACAGGTTCCACGATTCACAGGAAGGCTTCAGGGACCTTGCTGGGCGAATTTTTACAGTGCCGGCTTCAGCTTAAAAATTAAAGCTGCAGGAGAGGTGCGAGGGCCATAAGAAATGGCCTGGCGGGGTGGACATCATGACACATGTGATACAGATGTTCTTGGAGCTGTAGGTGGGAACAAGTTTTTTAAAGACAAGAAAGTAAAGCATAACGCACCTGGGGATCCATACTCATGTCTGGGCAGCCTGCAGATTTTTGGCATCACTTCCATAAGAGTGTTCACATACTGCAGAATTGTGCCTTGTAACTGCAAGCAAAAAGGCCAAAATTAGACAAAGCCAATAAAACACATTTATACAACATTCCGAAAGAAACAAAAACGGTATATGGCCAAACAGATTGTACAGTGTCTGTGAAGGTTCACATTCATCCAAGTCATGGCAATCTGTAAAAGATAAGTCAAAGCAACTGGACTTGCTGTATTTTTCTTGAAGACTTTTCACTGGTCTTTGAGAAAGCTGGTTGGATGACCAGTCAAACGTCTTCAAGAAAAATACAGCAAGTATTGAGCCCTTTAACAGGGAAGAGAACTACACATCTTTACCTATCGTGAGTTCATATAATTTCACAGATGCCAACGAGTTTGTTGTAGCTTAAGTGCCACTCATTTATCAATATTCACTTATGTCAATGAGAAAAAATAAAAAGTGTTTGAATTAGAAACAGTGTTTTAGACTCCGGATGAAAAACAGTCCATGTGGTACACCACTTAGGAACAGAAGTTCTAAAACTAGCTTGCAAATGATTCAATTTGTGCTCCTTACTGAAAGGACTAGGATGATGTTCCCTCACTTTTTGTCCTGGTGATATAATAGGAACCGAATGCTGTCTCCCCAAAGTGTCAGTAAATCCTAGGTCTGCCAACTGTCACCTTAAACTTTACACCATCACCTTACTTTTTGCTGAAAGAGGAGGTAGCACCTGTGATACTATCACTTATAGCTTGGGGTGATATAATAAATTTACGTCCTATTTACATTCTTTTTAACGTAATACGAACTTTCCATTTTCTTTTTTGCTACCTATGTGCCATTGTGGAGCAATCTACAATGGATTAGCGACCTATACCCTTACCTTATGTTCCAGTTACAACTATTAGCAGCAGTATTTCCCCTAACTTTCTGTGCTACTGACAACTATCATTGATATAAGAAGTGAGGAAAAATCTACCCAGCAGGGCCCTAGGCAGCATTGAAGACCTAACAGAGGCTCTTACTCTTCCCCACTCTATTCAAAACATAAAAAAATGGGCCGTCCATACATTTGTCAGCTTTGATATACTCACCAGGCTTTTCACAACTTTCAGCAATTCCTCCATCACCACTGCAATGCCTTGATATCCTAGGAGGCGGCAGATCACTTTAAAATGAGGAGGGCCCACAAAGTTTCTGTATGTACTGAAAATGCTGCTGTATGCATGGTTAAGAGTCTGTAGAAACAGAACAAAAAGTGTTGATTATATAAGAAATATCTGTTGTTCATGAGCTCCATTTTAGCAGAGAAAATAAATTATACAGAGAAGAAATACATGTTATGTAAATGAAACTACAGAAAACAGAATTTCAGCAATATTAGCCTATCATTATGCCGCTTAATCTCCTTTTTTCATAGGAGTACTGTGTCCTTTAGTGACGCAAGGGTCAGAAAATGGAACCATGGCATGCAGAAAACACAGGCATTTGACACTCTTGGATGTGTCAAACGCTGAAGAGACTAGGGCTGGAATGAAGCAAAAATAGAAGAAGTCGACTGCAAATGAGGCGAATATAAGGGCTGTTCTATTTTTGG